GAGGAAGAGGCGGACGGCACCCGTGGGAGAGAGGATGCCGCCCGCCGAGCACACGGCTGGAAGGGGGACCGCGGACGGCTGGAGGGTGAGTGCCGCGAGCGGACTGCAGCCTCCCCTCGCAGCCGCCCGCGGGACCCTGACAGTACCCCCCCCTCGAAGACCGCCCGGAGGGCGGGAAGCAGAAGGCTTCAAAGGAAACCGGGCATGAAAGGAGCGGACTAAAGAGGGGGCGTGCAAATCAGAGCTCGAAACCCAAGACCGCTCCTCAGGGCCGTAACCCTTCCAATCCACCAGGTATTGTAGCCGACCCCTAGAAACACGAGAGTCGAGAAGGGCAGCCACTTCGAACACGTCACTAGAGACAGTACGAGGGGAAACGGGCCGTCCGAGAGGACGAGAGAACCGGTTACACAGCAAGGGCTTCAAAAGCGAAACGTGAAACGTGTGCGGAATACGCATGGAAGGAGGCAAGTCCAGGGAGTAGGAAACGGGGTTAATCCTACGTAACACTTTGTAGGGACCAAGAAACCTGGGAGCAAACTTCATCGAGGGGACCCTGAGACGGAGGTTCTTGGAGGACAACCACACCCTATCACCCGGAGCATAAGAAGGGGTTGCACCCCTATGGCGATCAGCGAACTTCTTCTGAGCAGCTGCTGAACGAGACAGCGCAATATGGACCTGATCCCACGTCTTCCGTAAAGAGGCGAGGTGCTGGTCCAAGGCGGGCATTCCCTTTAGGAGAAAGTCACAGAGTCAGATAAACAAGCCAGAGAGTACGTAACCAGAAACACAAGTTCAGTATCAATACTAGCAGGTAAAGACCACAACAGGGCGAAGAGGAACAGGAAAGGTAAGTATATAAATCCAAAGGTTAATTCTGATTGGATAATTTCCAATCAGAATTAACAATCACACGTCTGAGATATCTAAACCTCCCACTGTGATCGAGGCACTGTGCCCTTAACGCCGGGTCAGGTGACTGACCCCGGCATTTGTTAAAATGGGCGGTCTCCCAGCATGCAGCGTAATGCATGCTGCCGCTGGGGGACATAGAGGAAGAGGCGGGAGGCACCCGTGGGAGAGAGGATGCCGCCCGCCGAGCGCACGTCTGGAAGGGGACCGCGGACGGCTGGAGGGTGAGTGCCGCGAGCGGACTGCAGCCTCCCCTCGCAGCCGCCCCCGGGACCCTGACAGGAGAAGCATCTGAGCCCTGCTATTTCGTCATTTTGTCAGAAAAGGGGGCGTGGCCTGCCGTGGAGCTCGGCGCTGGAACGGAGGTAAGTTTATATGATAAAAAGGGCTCAAATTTATTTTTAATGGCAAACTAATATAAAAGCAAGAAAGAAGGCTAGGGGACCTGTCTTTCCTGCTTTTATATGTTGACTATAGTGATCCTTCAACTTCCCATTGTGTAAAAAAAGACAAGAATATTTAATAACACATATTCTATTTGCAACAAAAATAGTATCGACCTGGAACGGGAAATCTCCAGACATAAATTGGCGAACAATATGTAATAAAATCTCCTATCAATGTAAGATGGAATAAAGCTTCTATATAGCAAGATATACAGTTGAACAATTCAAGGCTTGGTGGCCACCAGGGAAGAGATATCTAGTCCTATGAATTCTGACAACATATTAATCTACTGATTTAATTACTGATACATGATTTAATTGGTGAATTAGTCTTAAGTCAATCCGATCTGCTTTCCTCTTAATTATGTACTTAAATATTGGGTTGTTTATAAATCTTCACCCTCCCAAAGACCCTTTTAATTAGAATATGTATGAGTAGTATGGATGTATTGTATTTATTGTTTGCCTTTTATTATAATATTGATAATATTTTTTGTATACTTATTAATTATATCTATAAAATTTTAAAGTAATAGACTATTTGAGATATGCATCAGATTGCTGTGTATGTATGCTATGTTTACAATTTAATAAAGATTTATGTATGGTAAAAAGAAGAAAGTTGACCAGGTGCCTCTAATACTAATTTAATGCTGAGTTTATGGGTGCCAGCCTGAGTTTATTAGTAAAGTCTACCCTACCTACCTTTAAAATAATTATACTACTGGCATGCATACGACTCATAAACAGTAACCAATTTACTTTTTCCTTTTACTGACTCATGCACTAATTTGAATAGTAGTTGCAAAGGTGTTCAAAACCATAATATGAACAACCAGGATCAAGCTACTAAGCTAAGATGTGCTGCTGTGGACCGAATACCTAAAAGTAGATAATTCCTCATCGAAACCAACAAAATGTAACTCACAATTGATCTTGACAAATGGTACAAAAGAGGGGAGAATATGTGTTAGATTATTTATAAAATAAAAAAAACCATATGCCGTCGGGTTTCTTGTATGATTAATATATAGTGTCGTTTCTAATAAGTGGTACAGTCACAGTTAACAGTGAAGGGTGTGGAAGACAATTTTGGAAGTGATGTAGAATTTCTTTGTGAGCGCCATTTAGCATAGCAATAACTCTGATCCTTCCCTAGAGATCCTCTGCTATCTCTTACAGTACAATCAAAAGCAAAAGGATGAACAGTATTTAAAAGTTGTTAAAATCTGATTCAGATGACTCATTAGTCAGCATTTCACTGGTTGCAGGGTAGTGCAAGCTCAATCACTAACTCCACCGTTAAAACACTAAAGTCATTTAACTTGGAAAGAGGGGAAAAAAATTGATACGAGACGAAGATGATGAATCAATAAAAGTTGAGGTCTTCAAAAAAATCAATCTTGTCCATTTTGTTCTCTTTTATTAAGTTTTAAGGATTATCATAATGCCCTGTGCTATGTCACTGTAAAATAAATTTTTCTGTACATTTGATTTGGAAGGAAAGTCTTGATGGATCATTGCCCTTTTGATGTCTTTCTTTATTGTTTGAAAGAAATTAACGTCGAGCAGACAGAGAGAATTGAGACTCAGGCAGCAAAAGTGCAAACTTGCTCTCATTCCTCACAGTTATGTATGTGACCCTTGGTCTACAAGAGGATAACTCCAAAGCTTAGACGTCCATTGGTGACCCTTTATTCAAGTTCAGAAAGTTAGCATTAGGTGTGAAGGAGAGTTTAAATGGCAAAGAAGTACAACTGAGCTATAAATAAAAGAAAATAGTATTATCTAGATAGAATCGGCACACTGTGCTAAAATGCATTGCTACTCACATTAGTTTAGCTATGCTAATATATTGATGTATTGTATTTATTATAATATTTGGATAATTACTGCACTAACTTTACTTTAAATGGACACAACAGGCACCAAAACAACTTTAGCTTAACCCGTTAAGGACCAAACTTCTGGAATAAAAGGGAATCATGACCTTTTAACACATGTCAAGTGTCCTTAAGGGGTTAATTATTATTATGATATTTATAGAGCGCCATCAAATTCCGCAGCGCTTTACAATGGGTGGACGAACAGACATGTAGTTGTAACCAGACAAGTTGGACACACAGGAACAGAGGGGTTGAGGGCCCTGCTCAATGAGCTTACATGCTAGAGGGAGTGGGGTAAAATGACACAGAAAGGTAAGGATAGTATTAGACTAATGACAGTTGCAGAAGAGGAATCAGTCAGGAGCTATTAACAGTTTAACCCCTTAAGGACAAAACTTCTGGAATAAAAGGGAATCATGACGGAATATTTCCGTCATGTGTCCTTAAGGAGTTAAGTGATACGCTTTTATGAAGAAGTGGGTTATTATAAAGGAATGGAGATTGGGTGAGCATCTAACGGAGGAGGGAAGCGAGTTCCACAGGAGCGGTGCAACCCTCGAGAAATCTTGAAGGCGAGCATCAGAGGTGGGAGTACGGACAGTAAGTCTTCAGCAAATCGTAAGGGCCTAGACGGGACATACTTGTGTATAAGGGAGGATAGATAGGTGGGAGTAGCATTATGTAGCGATTTGAAAGCAAGAACCAGAATTTTAAATTGAGCTCTATATTTTATAGGAAGCCAGTGTAGGGACTGACAGAAGGGTGAGGCAATGGGGGTGCGGGCAGACAGGAAGATGAGCCTGGCCGCCGCATTCATTATGGACAGTAACAGCGCTAGTTGGGAGCACGTAAGACCACTGAGAAGCGGATTACAGTAGTCAAGGCGAGAAAGGACAGTGGAATGGACCAACACCTTAGTCGCATCTGGTGTTAAGTAGGGGCGGATGCGCGCAATGGTTTTTAGATGGAAATGACAGGATATGGCGATGAAGCATTAGATCATGTACCTGCAGTCTTACTGCTCCATTCTCTGCCATTTCAGAGTTAAATTACTTTGCTTATACAGCCCTAGTCACATCTCCCTGCATTTAACTTGCACAGCTTTTCTAAACACTTCCTGTAAAAAGATATCTGATGTTTAAACTTCTTGTATTGAAAATTGTGTTTAATTTATAATATCTTATCTGCTGCTCTGTTAATGGCCTTCTAGACCCTGCAGGAGCCTTCTGTTTGTGATTAAACACTTTATAGAGCAGGGTATACACAATTAGAAAGTAAGTTAACATCTTAGTGAATTGGAAAACATTCTTTTCATACAGTCTGTGTCCGTTACAGCCTGGGGAAGTGTGGCTGGGGCTGCATAAACAAAAACAAAAGTGATTTAACTCCTAAATGACAGACAATGGAGCAGTGAGACTGCAGGGGCATGATCTATACACTAAAACTGCTTCATTGAGCTAAAGCTGCTTTGAAGCCTATAGGGTCCCTTTAATTCTACTATAATGTTACCTGTAAAGTGCTAAGAATGCCTAGTGCAGGTATATGATGAAGAAAATACACGCATACATATTTTATCTGCAGGGAGGATATTAAAGATATATACTTAACCAATGTAAGCCTCAATCATATTGTTTAATAATTATCTACGTTATTAATGGGTTCTGATGAGCTGTTAATATATATTTTATGGCAAGACAGGGGGCTTCATATTTTTGCGGCTGTTTCTGTTTTTGTTTTTTTCTGGCACTTATAGCTTCCGGCAAGCTGCGCCTCTGTACCTCAGCAACCTGTCTGCTTCATGTCTATCCACTTGCATCTCTTGACGCCCAGTCTCCGTCCCTTCTCTCCATTGTGGCGGCCATCTTAAACGGCCCTTTCACATATTTTTCCCGCTGTTTTTTCTCCTGGCTCAGAAACACACAGCGGTACAGTGCTCGGAGCTCGGACCTCAGGGTAAGTGTCTAAATATTTCCTGTATTTAGACTTTAACATTCTAACATTTTCTTTTCTTTTGAGCCTTATACTTATTACCCTTTCCCTCTCTTTACAGCTATTCAAGGCTCTTCTAATTTCTGTGGCTTTTCACCTGTCACCTGCTCCAAACTCCCGAACTGCATACAAGGGAATGCTCCAAACTCCCGAACTGCATACAAGGGAATGCTCCAAACTCCCGAACTGGAATCTCACGAATAGCTGCTAGCAGACGAACAGGAAAAGCACCCAAGCGGCTTACACTCCTGGAAATCAGTCTCTAACAGCATACAGTAAATCCCCCCCCCAAAGACGAGACAGAGCTCCGTGTTGAGGGTCAAGCAGTGGTCTGGTTTATTGAGGGCTACCTGCCCAGTATTTATGCAGGTCTTCCACCTGGTGTACACTCCCCTAGGGGACCAGATGGAAGACTGGGACACAAATGGTAAAATGACCAATCACAGGCATACAGGGTTAAAACACTCCCACAGTACATTACAATCCCTCCCCTCTATCCTGGAGATAATTGGGAAGTAATCCAATTATCTCCAAGGACAGAGGCAAAACTCCATTGAGCACATGTAAGTAAAAAGACACAAAAATACACAATGCTGCAAATAATGAATAAAACATATACATTCTACCTATCCCCAGATAGCTTAGATCTGAGCGCACATTATTATCGAATGGCGCTCAGATCACATACATCCAGTTCAATCGCCATGGAGCCAAAGTCTATCACATAGTCTTTCGTTACACGAATAGGCTCCATGGCATGGCTATTTGGGGTGATGCTGTTCATACGGTTAAACTACCGAATGATCAGGCATTCAGTTAAATGACCGAATGCAGAAGCAAGGAGGCTGATGGCTCAGCGGTGTTCGTGCAAATAAGTGTCCGTTTCCAGTTCAATAGTTTTGGCGCTGAACACCGCTGGCCGTTCGGGACTTTAAAATGGCTGCTTCCACATGTTCGGCAAACGAACAAAGGCCACACAGGTTAACTGCAGCTTCTGGGAGGTCAATTGATGGCACAGTCCAGCTCCCAGGTGGTCCAGTCATTTGTGCGTTTGTTCGGTACATTGAATCTACCAAACACCCTGGCAGAAAGGCACGAACAAGCCTTTCTGCAGGGGAAAATACAAGGTTTACCATGGGACCAACAGGCGGGCAACCAGGCTCCTCCAATGCAATGTGGCGAGATTGGTCTCGTCACAGGACTTAAATAAGCACATTTCTATTTTCAACCCCCTCACTAAAGCCCAATCATCACTCTGCAGAGTGTTCCGTTCCCATCGTTTATATGGGAGAGCCGGTCACCATAGAGGCCGAGCCACCGGCAGACAAGCCTTCAGAGGCTATAGGCCTTGCCCCACTGAGCCCTGGAACTTCTGTCAATACCAACCCTACTACAGACAACTTTTCCCTGGCAGACGTCCCATCAGAGGACGCAGATCTGCTTTTCTTCGCAGATGCACTGCTTCAGGTAATCAACCTTCCTTATTTACATGTTCCTATAGCAGGCCGGCTAACCCATTTTTCCCTCAGTGGTCAAAACTAACTCAAGACCACTGGATCCTACAGACGGTCTCAGAGTTCCTCATAGACTTTGTATCTGATCATTTTCAGGAAAATCCACGCATGCCCCTCAAGCTCTCTCAAGCCGAGGATGCAACTTTGCTATCTGAACTCTGCAAACTCAGAGACCAGGGTGCTATAGAACCCTCGACAACGTCCCCGACATTCCTCAGCAATATTTTCCTTGTAAAGAAAAATCTGGAGATTTTCGGCCGATTATAAACTTAAGAGACTTAAATTAATCAATTGCCTATCGACATTTTAAGATTCAAGATCTTTTATGCGACCTTCTCTGCATAAGAGATTGGTTCTCACCCTTCGACCTCAAGGACACTTACGTCATGGTTTCAATTGCACCTCCCCATAGGTGCTACCTTCAGTTTGTTTGGCAACCTCTGGCAATTCACCTACCTCCCATTCGGCCTATCCTCCACTCCGTGGTGATTCACGAAGCTGAAAAAAACGGTTATGGCTCTCCTCTGTTCTCAGGGTATAAGATCCATCATCTACCTCGACGATATTCTGATTATGGCACAAGACCCTCTCAGTCTACAACAACACACGGAGGTGACAACATCTCTCCTTCAAAATCTCGGTTTTGTGATAAACTTTGAGAAGTCTTCACTTCAGCCTTTACAAACCATCCATGTCCTGGGGTTTCAAATAGACTCCATGCAAGCTATCCTTTAACTCCCATCCTCCAAAATAAGAACATTCAAAAACTGATGGGCTCCCCTCGCATTTACCTTCGTGATTTAGCAAGGGTCATAGGTCTCGTCAGCCTCCATCCAGGCCATTTTCCTGGGGCCTTTACACTACAGATCAATGCAATGACTCAAGGCATTTTACCTGCAAAGATCCGCATCTTACGATCAACTGATCTCTCACAGAAGAGGTCCATTTGGAACTGGATTGGTGGCTCCACAACATCTCTCCCCTGAGGGCTTTGGACACCCTCCGAAAGGACCTTAGACATGAACTGCCTCAAATTGCTTACCGGCTCCTTTGCAGTCCACAGCTTTGCAAAAGACTCCTACAATTGTTCTCTGACTCTGAGGATGGACAATGTTTCCGCTGTCCATTACGTCAATCGATTGGGAGGTTCTCGATTCAAACTCCTTTCGGATTTGACAAAGGAACTCTACCAATTTTGACTGGCCAGAAACATCTCCCTTCAGGCAGTATATCTGCCAGGTCTGGACAACCTGGTAGCGGACTAGTTCCCTCGTCACTGGGAGACGCCAGCCATTGGCAGTTGGATCCACACATCTTCCATCTCCTTCATCTGGCTCATGGTCCTTTCCATTTGAACCTCTTCGCATCCTGTTTGAATCATCAGATTGAGGCCTTCTTCAGTTGGCTTCCAGACCCGGCCTGTCATGCCGTTAAGGCATTCCTTCAACCTTGGCTGAGCTTGGGGGGGATATGCCTTCCCTCCTTGACAAATCACTGACAACACTTTTCAGCAAATTAAAAAGGCATTGTAACTATTATAACCAACACAGCCCGTTAAAGTGGATATGGTGCTAGGGGCTGGCCAGTGCTAGCTTGTTGCTTTAGGACACAACATGTTAGTACCACACTTCACATATTGTCATCACTACTGTAATGTAGTTAAAAAGCCCTTTAAAATCGCCATTTTGTTGGTTATTAACATCACAATCATGGCATATCATTCAAGAAACCATATGATTAGCAATAAGACTTAAGTTAGGCCTAAGTGTAGGTTAAATATGATTTTTAATTAAATCCAGTTGACATTTTTGGATTATGATAATGTTAAAAACAATCATACAATACCGACTAGATCTGACAACATTATCAAACAAAAACAAGCACCACATTGTGATGAAAGTCTTGGTGTTAAAACTAGGCATTGGTATAGAATATTGATATCTCTCATTCCTTTCTCAAATGTAGTTTAGCCCTGATCATATCAGTACTTGTCTCCAGCCAAACAACTGACTTGGCAGGTTGAGAAAATTACAAATATTTGAGGAAATGTATAATGTTTGTTCATAATGCAGGTAAAGTTTCAAACAAAATATACCAAAATCATGGTATATTTAAGTATCTGACATGTAATGATCTGTGCTCATTTCAAATAAGTGAGGAGAAGACCTGCCCATATTTTGTCAGTACTTAGTGATGTGTATAGGACTTACCTGAAAACAGAGTTAAAGTGGTTTCAGAGAATAAAACCACAACGCATCATTTTACAGAAGTATTCCTTTTTCTTAGACTATGCCAAGTCAGTTCCAAGCTATGTACAACTGCTCTTAATTTGCAGCCTGGCAGATTCTGACATCTTGCTCTCTGTCCTTTTTGAACTGATCTTCTCAGGTCATGTACTGATAGACCATGCTACAGAGCTGTCATTGTGATATCAAATCAGAGTGCCCCAAATTCCCACAATGGATACAGCTTGTGCTGGAGAATTGCATCTCTCCCAACGCTCATTCAGTGTCTCCTTTTCCAAGCATACCTCCTCCCCTCGTCCTGTCATAGAAACATAGAATGTGACGGCAGATAAGAACCATTCGGCCCATCTAGTCTGCCCAATTTTCTAAATACTTTCATTACTCCCTAGTCTTATCTTACAGTTAGGGTAGCCTTATGCCTATCCCACACATGCTTAAACTCCTTTACTGTGGTAACCTCTACCACTTCAGCTGGAAGGCTATTCCATGCATCCACTACCCTCTCAGTAAAGTAATACTTCCTGATATTATTTTTAAACCTTTGTCCCTCTAATTTAAGACTATGTCCTCTTGTTGTGGTAGTTTTTCTTCTTTTTAAATATAGTCTCCTCCTTTACTGTGTTGATTCCCTTTATATATTTAAATGTTTCTATCATATCCCCCTGTCTCGTCTTTCCTCCAAGCTATACATGTTAAGATCCTTTAACCTTTCCTGGTAAGTTTTATCCCGCAATCCATGAACCAGTTTAGTAGCCCTTCTCTGAACCCTCTCTAAGGTATCAATATCCTTCTGAAGATACGGTCTCCAGTACTGTGTACAATACTCCAAGTGAGGTCTCACCAGTGTTCTGTACAATGGCATGAGCACTTCCCTCTTTCTACTGCTAATACCTCTCCCTATACAACCAAGCATTCTGCTAGCATTTCCTGCTGCTCTATTACATTGTCTGCCTACCTTTAAGTCATCAGAAATAATCACCCCTAAATCCCTTTCCTCATATGTTGAGGTTAGGACTCTATCAAATATTCTGTACTCTGCCCTTGGGTTTTTACGTCCAAGATGCATTATCTTGCACTTATCCACATTAAATGTCAGTTGCCACAATTCTGACCATTTTTCTAGTTTACCTAAATCATTTGCCATTTGGCTTATCCCTCCTGGAACATCAACCCTGTTACATATCTTAGTATCATCAGCAAAAAA